TAGCATATTCTGGGGCTACATCTCGGTATGGGTACTTTGTTAAGTTCTCCAGTGTCAGTCAAGGTTGATAATCACCACTTTGGAGACTCTAAGTAGATCACAAACACAGAATATAAAAATTGGAAAAATCACTTAATTGTTCTAGGCTTTGTTCCCTCACCTAAAAAACAGTATGTTCGGATGGTGGAGTGTTAATATGAACTGATTTTCTTTTATAGTTAGATAAAAATGTATATTGATAGTTATTTATTTCAAACAGGCAGAAAAGCATAGAAATTACTATTTTGTCATAGATGTTTCAGTTCTCTCACTCTTGTTTAACCAAGAAATTATGTATTTATACCAACTATATAATGCTGTTTAGTATGTGTCAAAATGTATACAAGTTGCATTATACTGCAATATATCCTTTTGAATGAATTTTTCAATCCGCTTGTGTATTGACATTTATCTATGCCACCTCTTTATGTCAATATTGAGAGATTTCTATCTAGTTCATCTATTTTAAACTATTCCATACTATTTTTATCAAGTATAACTCAGTTTATCAATTTACCTTGTTTATAGATTTATGGATTTGTTGGTTTACATTTCTTTTCTAAAAATCAGATGTGCAATAAACACCTTTTTGCACATACCCCCCATTACGATATACAAGTTTCTCTAGGGAAGACACACAGATGTGATTTTGTTGAATATGCTCATCTTCATCTTTATTAGATATTTCCAAATTTTCTTCCAAAGTGGTTACAACAATTTACTCACTAACAAAGGGAAATCATTCCCTGCTCTCCAAACCCTCATCAGTACCTGCCATCATAAGAATATATGTAATTGTTGCCAATATGAAGGTTGTAGAGTGGTAACTAATATTTATGGTTGGCTAATATTTTCCCAAAGTCCCTTCTGGTTATGTAATTGTAGTCACCTCACCAATGCCAAGTCTTATCAAAGAAACAGAATAAAGAATATAAGAAAGCCTTCTTCCACAGCTTAAAATGAATTTGCTTTTCCTCAAGAAGTGTCTTACATGGCTAACACTGGCCCATGAACCCATAAATCAGGCCATAAAAGAGGAATGGGGACATGGCCCCAGCTCTGTATTTATTTTCTTGTATTCATAATCCAATGTTACTTAAAAAGCAACTCCCCAATACTCAAGCCAAAGCAAATACTCTAGATTTTGCCAGGCAAAATGCCTGTGGAGAAATGAGTCAATTCATACAAAAGTCAAAGCTGTCTTTGGTCAGTGACATTTTCATGAAAATCTGTGGGTGGGTAAAAGTTTTGCAAAATTCCTCCTTGCTATTGGACAAAATATATCCAAGAAAAATAAGCAAAATTTAAGTGGTGACCCACACTCCCCCTAATTCTCTTATTAACACTCCCTAACCTCCCAGCACAACTGCTTTCTATTGTGCATGATGGCAAGCCATTGGTGTTTCTGATCCTGGCAACAGAGTTCTGTTCTCCTGTTCACTCTGCTCCGATCAGATAGACTTTCTCATGAGTACTGGCAGACAGTGTGCCTGATCTCATTCAAAATACACCTTACTGGGAATGCTACCCAGGCATCACATACTCTTTAACTTAATGGCAAAAGACTTATGGTAAAAGCATTCTCAGTGTGAGCTCTGTTGGAACCATAACTATGGATACTGTAAGGGATGGTTAGTGTATATCTGTAGTTTCATGTTATATTTTATGCTGTCCTTTTAGGAAGTTGAGAAAGAAACAAATTCAGAGTCTCCGTGACTTGTTCTGACTTGAGAAACCTGTCAGAAAGTTATAATACAGTTCAGTATAATTATACTTAGGAATACTCAAAAAGTTTTGATAACTCTAAGATTCATCAATGCTGTAATTGGTCTAAGCTCAGGAAGGTCTAAATAGAATGAGCTGGCCCCTAGAAATTGCTGTAGTTAGTAGATGACAGAGAACAGACTCAGGTATTTTTAATATAATATTGCCATATCTCAATTTTTGATTTAACCAAGGTCTGCCCATCTGCTTAAAGAGGTCTGTAATTCTCGAGGCCTTTGCCATTGGCTAGGAATAGGTCTGCAGTCACAGTCAGGCTTGGAAAGAGAGCAGCTATGATGGCTTTTCACAGAAACAATGAGAATGAGATCTACAGAAGAGTTGAGTTGTTTGGGTGGGAAGAGAAAAGAAATCATTCTCCTCTTCCAGTAAGTTAACCAAATAATAGATTAACTATTCTCCTCCTGTCTTGCCATCTAGAATCCTGAGTGATCTGAATCCCAGAATTCTGGATAAGGCTGAAATGTTACAGTCAGTTATTCTGAGAATATGTTCTCCCATGCATGAAATGGAATTTGGCGTCAAGGGAGGATACCTCTTACTGTAAGCAGACTATCACTGAGTAGCCTTTTCACACACCCTTCTTTGGCCATGACTTCCAGACACTCATTGTACTGCTGGTAGTCATGGTCACCAAACACAATTGGGTCATCCCATCTTTCTGGGTCAATAAACTAAGTGAAAATAATGACTAATTCTAACTATGGGCCATAGAAAATTAATAGCAGTTAAACATACGTAAGACAAAAGTATATTGGGTCTTATAATTTTAACTATTCCTAGCCTTTGGAGGATGAGATACAGTCACAAAAGCCCAGAGATCACTTTATGTTTCCAAAAGAGAAGTGTCATTTACTAGGCAAGGATCTTAAGTTTTGAATCAATTACCTCAGTTACCATAGCAGTCAGAGATGAAACAATTCACTATTAAGAGTTCTTTATGTCTGGATTCTAAGAATGTAAAGAATGGTTTTGCAAAAGGTGGAAAAATCTACCTTTAACAAATATCCATCTGCAATGCCTTTGATCCATGACCATAAGTTGAATGGACTGCTGAACTTTCACAGTAAAATTAGCCAGTTAGCTAAACCTTACAAATCAAGTAGATGACTTATAACAACATAACAGTTTTCAGAAGATAAAATGCTATGATGTGTATGTTTTATACAAAAATGGCTGTCACAGCTAAAAATACATAATCCATTAGTCAGTTCCTAAGAAACCCTGTTTTAAATAAACACATTTGCACTATAACATGTGTAACTAAATGCTTTGAGTTCTAGATTTCATAAGCTGTTAAATCTAGCAATCTGAATTTTGCAAAAATTCTATCTAAAAATGGGGGGCAGCAGAGCAGAACACAGAGAAATCACTTCCTTACCCATCCTGAACAAGACAATGAAAAGCCATACAGAGGCTTGTACATACTCACCTCACAGTTTATTCTTTCACTTATTTTAATAATCATCATGCACACTTAGTAAAAAAATCAACTTTATAAAGTTATATGCCTTGAAAAAGTCTGGAAGCAGTGAGGAAATCCTATTGTACAAAAATTCATTTTGCAATGCAAAAAAAAAAAATTGGGGGTAATTCAAGCCTTTATGTTTACTTCAGTAAGCCAAATCCAGCAAACTATTTTCAGCTAGGATTAGTCAGAACTAAAAGGTTGGACTGTTTTCCTTCAGAGGCTGAATGTCTTTCCTGCCTGCAATAGGCCAGTGTGTTCCAAACAGAGTAAATGGAATTGCCTTCAATTGCTTGTCTCTTTCTGGCATTTTTAATGTAGAACCCTACTGACAGAGTTAGGTTTTTCAGCCTGGAATGCAATTATTCTGTTCACTCATATAACCTGGCATTCTTACAATATATCAGCTTCAGGTTTTCCTTAAGAAAAATCACAACATGGGGCATAAAGTAATGACAAGAAATGCAATTTCATTCTGCCAGAAATTCTTAAAACTCCTTTAGAAATGCCACTGGGTAGTGGGAGAGTACACCTAGTACTTGCATTACCTGTTTGACTTGCTTTTATGTGAATCAAACAACGTGGCCAATCTACAATCAAATATGCATTATCATAAAGACACAGGAAGGAGGAACTCTGGCTGAGAGACCACCATCTAACAAAGTTCCTTTTCAAAATGATTTATATATTTCACACATTTAATGACCTGCAGCATATTCAATAACCAAGGAAGACCTATGGTTCTCAGATTTTAACTCTAAAACTAATATAAAACACATGCATTTTTTCCCTAAGCATGAAGTGAGCTGCCTTAGATTGTTCAGAGCCACTCTGTGATCCCAAGGGTGATGTCCTGCTTGTAAACCCTGAGGGTTTTTGTTAGGTGTGAAGTTGTTGTGAAATCACTTAAATTGTATTAGTCAAAAACAGTGAATTTTGCTAGAAACAGAGATTGTTTGCAACATCAGTGATGTAAAAGCGAGGAGACAGGGAAGATGGAGGCACCATGCTGACTTCCCTCAACATCAAAGGCACATAGGCACATGTTCTTCTTGGTCTTTCTCCTGATACCAAAAAAAAAAAAAATCCTTTCCTAAAATTTCAGAGAAATCTTGTGAGATTCTGCTCCTGTGATATCCCCTGGGTGTTTTTATGCTGACTATAAACCATTAAAAAGTCTCACAACTCTGTAAGTATGCAGTGTGCAGGTTTGTGGGTGCATGCAGCAACATTTTTACTAGCCAAGCTGCTAAGCTTGAGTTCCTTTCTAAACAAATACCAAAAACACCTCCCCCCAATCCCCAATACTCACCCAGTTATTGGCAGAAAGAGAGAAAAATCACTGAGTTTTTGCTTTGGAAAGAGCTAAAGCTTATTAGTAGTACATGATGTGTGTTCTTCCATCCTGCACATTTCAGTAACTTTAAGCTTATAGCAGGGGGCATCTATTTTCCAATATTTTAGCCAGAGTGGCAGCTACACCTCCTTTAATGTGATTGATCATGTACATTTTGCAGAAAAGAATTCAGAACTAAAGGATGCTCAGCCGCTAATGCCTTCCCCTTCCTTAGGCTGGAGGGGAAGCAATTTCATGGATATCTAGACTGCTTTACCTCCAAACTACATAAAAGAAAATATCCCCCAGCTTGCAGCAAAGTTTGGAAAAACACACACAATTTCAATAAACTCACATGGGCTTTGGGAAACTCACCGAACATTTGTTGGGCTTCTCCCCGGAGTGGACTCTCATGTGAATTAGCAGTTTATAGCGGGCATTGAATGGCTTGTACCTTCGAGGACAACCTGCCCAGAAGCAAGTGAAATCTTCCCCTTTGCGCTGGTCTATGTGAACCTTTTCGATGTGCCGCACAAGTTCCTCCTGCTGGTCATACAAGGCACTGCAGTCGATCCAGCGACAGCAGTGCTTGCCCCCGATGTCGTCCATCTCTCCATCATCCTCCAGGACAGCCTGAGGCAGGGTCAGTGGCTGCGTGTGGGATACAAGCTCTTGGTGGTGCAAATGTGGATGGGCATGGTAGGGAGGTGGGGGACCTTGGGGTGGTGGTGGTAGAGGAGGCAGAGACGGTGCTGGGGGCAGGTCAAGGGCGTTACTGGGAAAATCATCCAGGCGCTCAGTCTTCAACAGACCAGCTGACTGGCCATTGGGTCCCGGCAGGCCATGCTGCACCACCATGTTGTTGACCAAGCCAGGCTGGAGGCCCCCATGCTCTAGCTGCTGCATGCGTTCATACTCCAGAGAGCCATCCTCACAGTAGACAGGGAGTGCCAGTCCCCCGCTGGCCACTCGCACACCTTTCTGGCTGCATGGCACTGAACATGGTTGGGGAATGCAGCTGCCACGCACCCCCAGGAAATGCCCATAGACTTCAGGTTGCGGGGACATATTGGCTGGAGAAGCCCTCGACCCATTGATGTAGGCGACCAAGGAGGTGGGTGAGGTGCGGATGATGGTATTGAAGTCAATCCCAATGCCATCAGACAGAGGGGACAAGGACAGTGCTCTCTTCTTGGAGCGAGCCGAGTGGGACTTGGTTGAAGAGTGCCTGGGACTAGGGTATGAAGAGTGGCTATTTTCCATGCCAAAAAGGTAGGGTGGCAATGAATTAGAGACACTATTGCTGGACATGGCTGTCCCAGGAGGAAGGCTCAGGAGGTCCCCAAGATCAATGCCATTCTGAGAGCCATGGTTGGAGGAGAGTGAAGGGAGAGCCCTGTAGCCTTGGGACCATTCTTGTTTCACACTCAGTGCAGACTGACTTTCTGTCAGACTCAAAGTTGTGGATGCCAAAGACTCACGAGAAATAAGGGACCTGGAACAGCAGCCAGAAAGGAGGAGGAAAAAAAAAAAAAAAGCAAACATTTTAGCAGGATATGGATTGCTTAAGAGCTAAAAGAACATTGCATTGACAATCCCTTAAGTATTTCCCCTAATTACATTCTCGGCTAAACACACATTCTTTGGCTAAGATAAAACCCAAGGCTTTTAGTTCCAGGTAAATAACATTTTACCAAGAACAATGAAGGCTAGTGCTCCCTGGAATAATAAAACAAAAGATCTATTGTTTGAAATAATCTTAATACTTTAATGATAATAAATAGTCCTTACCTTATTTTTAAATATCTTTTTAATGTAAGGGGGAAATTAGAGACATGGGAGTAATTATAGATGCTTGCTACAACAAACCAAATAAGCAGGTATTTATTAAACACCTACTGTGTGCAGCACAATACAAACAAGAATTGCAGGCAATACAAGTCTAAATGCTGTTCCAGCCTTCAAGAAAATCTATATGGCGAGGTAAAATAAGCCCACGCTTGATTAAAAACAAATGTGGATCATCAAGACAAAGTGTAATCCAGAGGACTTTATAATTTCACAAGTTAGCGTCACTGACATTAAAATTCTAAAGATTTTTTTTAAGATAGCAATTCATGCTATCAATATGCAGTCATAATACCAAATTGTCATAGGAAATGAAAAAACATGAAATATAGCTATAAGGGAATAACATCCTGAAATCAAATCATATTTGCAATTCTACATTTGGGACATGTAGGGTTTAAACACACTCGCCAGTAAGGGTTTTGTTGACAAGCTCTTGTCCTTAAAGCTGAGCAGCTTTGGGCCAACTGCAGATCATTCGCTTATAGTAGTTCATTTCTACAACAATAACTCTTCTGTTCTTCTGACCCTTTCTAAAGCATGCTTCAGAAGTCACAGTACTTATACCTGCATTTCAAAATGGTTTGTAATGTGTTCTGACCACTTTAAAATGCATTTTGCTTTACTATGACATCACTGTCTTAAAAATCATTGAAGAGAAAGCTTGGATAGAATATTTGTCACAACTCACTGCATTTTCCCAACTAAGACATAGCTATCAGGAAAAGATGGATTATTTATATATACCTGCTCTGACTTTCTACAGTGATCTTTTTTCTGATTTAAAAAAAAAAAGAAAACAATGTATTATATAGAGATATGTCTTCCCAGAATAAGCCCATTTACTACTTCCAACTGTTAAACAGCAACCTGTGTTGCAAGGGACTGAGGGGAAAAATCATTTTCATTTGTTCCCCTTACTCCTTTACACAAAATGGAAGCCTGGAACACTACTTCCTATGAGCTACAAATATAGCAAGAAAACATCTTGGTTCTGAAATGCACAATAAAAGGTAACAGATAACTCCATTACTGATGTGATGTTTCTATGAAGTAAAGTAATAATGTTTGCCAGTGATATCCAGATGCCCTGGAAACAGGTGTTTTTGTGTTTGTTTGGCCTTTTTATCTTGGTCCACATCCTCATATTTGGACTGAAGTCCTTTCATAAGTTGCAAAGTGGTTTCTGAACCATCTATCTTTTAAATGTCCAACAAACCCACAGCATGCATCTCTCCCTGAAGAGCTCAGCTGAAAGCTCGTGCTAATTGGATGTCAAAGGTCTTTTGGTCCCTTTCCCAGGGAGATTCAGGAATTGTTTTCTGATCCAAGCCAGATCAGTAGCCATGCCATATATGAAGTAAAGACAACTGACTCTGCATTACACCTGAGGCTGAGAAGATTTTAGAACATTCTCAAATAGTGCATTTACCTGGTCTCTATCACACTGGAGCATTTTAGGTTTTTAAACAGCAAATAACAGGCAAAAAATAGTTTGCCCACCTGTGCATACTTTGAATATAAAATTATATTATTGGCTTTGAGGACAGCCTATAGTTCATTTGTTTCATTGTTGAAAGATGTTTCTTATTTTTTCTCAAGTTACAACTCAAGTTTCTAACTTGGTCTCAATTTAAACTCAAGTACAACATGCAGGCCTGTTTCTTAATTCCTTAAAAATCTCAGTTTTCGAAGACAGTCATAAATTTTTCAGAAAGCAAATTCTATATTCAGTCCACTAAAGCACTAATATGAACAGAGAACTCTTCTATCTCCAACACCTAATGAGAACAAAACTCCAACAAATGGCCTTGTGACCCACCTCCTATCTTTTAATCTTTCAAATTCAAGAAATCCCTCAAATATACCAAATATACTTGTTCTCAGTAAGTGTGCTCTCTCCAAAGAAGCTAAAATACTGGCTGTGCGGCACCTTAAATGTATCTTCAGGCCCCGGTAGTTATTATTTTCCTGGATGAAATTCAAAGCTCTTCAACAAGAGGATTCATTTCTATCTCCTCCAGCATCCACAAGAATGTTAGATATATATGTTACCAAAAAAAAAATGGTTGATTTAAAGTAGAATGAATAATCGATCGAATGATAACTAACCATCATCTATATAGTTTGCAAAGCATGTTTCCCTATATCGCATCTCATTTGATATAGTAAACTGAATTTTTAAATAGAGTAGTTTACAAAAAATAAAACTGAGGATCTGTGAAATTCTTCCAAGTGTTAAAAAAAAAAAAAGGAAAAGAAGTACAAATGAAGCAGCATTTAATAGAAAGTTTCCTAGCAGGGCAACATACACCCTCTGTTACTTCCCCCACATCTCCACATTTGGTCCCAAATGCTCTGCTTGGCTAAAAGACCTAGTATAAACAGACTTAAGCCCACATTTTCTGTTTTCTAAGAAATCAGTAACTCTCCTAGGGTCATAAGAGACTTGATGACCAAGGTGAATTGCCAAGTCCAAAAAAAATACCAACTTACAGAGTATGTGGAATTTCTCACACTGAAACTTAAGGGAATATATATATATATATATATATATATATA